ATTTAAAAAAAATATATTTGGAAAAAATCATTTTAAAATTTTTTTAATCATGTTTTTCTTACCCTAGATGCCTTAAAATTGATTCTTTTTTATCTTATTAAGAAAAAATATGAACAAATTGAATCAATACTGAAAAGAAAGAAATGTAATTGTTATAAGGGAACCAAGATATGGTGTGACCACATTAAAGGAATGAATGAAGAAATTTACAACCAAAAACAGAAACAGTTGTACCATTAGTCAAAGAGGTGTTAAAACTAAAGAAGGGATAGGCATTTATACTTATACGACTAAAGCGTAGTCTTTTAATCCATCAGTTTTCATCTTGAATATGTGGCTAAGGTGTGTAAGTCACTAAACCACCAAAATTGACTTCAAACAAGTAATAAAGAAATAAGAAAATTTAGGGGCACAAATTTATATTGTTTTAAATTTTCCATTTTTATGGAAAGTTACAGCATCATGTACATTTCTGCCTTAAAGGTCTAACTTTAATAATAAACCTCTAAATCAATGTTTCTCAAAAATAACTGAGTGACTTGACACCTTTTCCACACTGCCACAAATTTTAACACATATATTGTTGATAAACTAAATATTTATTAACTCATATCATACAGGCTCTATCAGAAAAACAACGTAGTATATTCTTCATCTTGAAGAAACTTTTGTATTAATACTGGCCACATTATCACATTTTTCTGAAGGTACATGTTTAGGAATTGTAATGAAGTCAACATTTTGTTTTGAATAATTGGAATGTTATTTGATTCCTTACATTTCTATTTGTTATTACAAACTATAGACATCTCTATTATTTGTCACATTTCAAAGAACAGTAACAAAAAAAAATGTAAAAGATGTAATGCTCAGGGAATATGTAAGATGTTAAATTGCATCTTCATTTGTAATTTTTCCCTTAAGAAATTAACACGTTCACTGCTCCCAAATATAATATATACAAGGATTGTCAGAATTGTAGGCAATAAACTACAATAAAAATGACAGTATTGAACTTTGACAAACTTAAAACTGATTAGTACAATACATAAAATGTTTTGTTTCCAAATTAGATTTTTGTCTTTCAATACATCACCCAGAGTTAGTTGTCGAGGCAATTCATAACACATTTTTGATTTTAACTCTCCAGTTGCTGGACCATCAGCTCTCTGTGCAGCACCTTTTGAATATGAATTTTTAGTATGAAAAGTCATGATTGCATAGAAAAGAAATGGATAGCAACCTAATTTACTTAATTGAGAGATGCTAGAATTTTTTCTTTCATTGAATCACTTGGAGCACATTTGCCTCAGGAAAAAAATTCAGAATAACAACTTAAATCTAAGTAATACAAAACAAAGGAATAAAATGGTAGTCATCTGAATCTAAGTGCTATCTACTTTCATTTTAGTTCCAACTTTGTTTTTGAACAAACAATTTTAAATTAAGTTATTATTATTATCATTATTAGAATATCTTGTCTTATTATTTGCAAAAATGTATTGTTCTTAAAGACTAAGGAATCAGTGATAAATTAAAATTCAGAAAAATATAAAATTCAATGTATAAATGTAAAATTCAAAACAAAATTATGGCATGTTTTTTCTGGATACACTTGCCATTCTACTTTAATGTTAAATGGCCAACAGAATCTATGAAACTAAACTGCAGTGTGTGAATATAATACAGTAAATGTACAATATTTATTTCATATAAATTGTAAATTATATAACCTATATTACTACTTTGAACTAATGCAGAAATTGAAAGAAAACTATGCAGCCTCCAGACCTTTGAGATGTGAAAACAGTTTCACTACTTACCCAGGAACTTGGAAAAAATCCCAAAACAATGAAACAAGTTCAACTTTGAGTGAAAAATTGAAATATTTAATACTGATTTTCTGCCCATTCTCATTCTATATATACTACCTGAATTGTCATACTCAAGCCAGACTGCAAGGAAGAGTGCACACCATATTAAACATTTTCTAGTCAAGTATTGCATTATGGAATGCAATTTTTATGAAATACTAGGTGTCTGGAGAACTGTGTATCCGTTCATACTATTCTATTTTATTGCAGCAAACATGAATACTTCTTTTGTTAAAATATTTTATTTGTTGCAGTTAAACAAGAGTTTTTTGTTGTTCTTGGGTAGTGTGTGTGTACTTTTTTTTGAAGAAACCATTTTGTATGATCATGATTTTGCAACATTTTTGCTGCTGCAGGTTACATATATGTATTTTACATGAAAAATTTATTATATATTGCTAAATGTAGAAAGTACATGAACCCAACTTGTATAAAATTTGTCAACTGCATTAACAAAATTGTACATCTCTAAACAGATGTGTGCTGGAAAGAACACTACGCTTTTCATTAAACCAAGATTGATTTTTGATTATCACCAATAAATTGCAACAATGGATTATCCATTCTGATAGCCAATTCTGCCTAATTTGAATACTTCGACATCAACTGCTATGCAAATGTTTACGTAACTTGTAATGAAAAACTGTTCATGCAGAACTTAGTTCTGCTATATACCGGTCAGAGGGCAAAATGAACTACAAAATGTTGTTGACCTGCCTCTGGAAACTATTCTATTGCCCCACACCAAAACAGTCTGTATTATTGGACGTTTATCACCAAAGAGTTGATAGGGGAAAAAGAAAGAAAAAAAGAAATCTAACCCCGGTAATAGATTTTCTACTCAATATTTTTTGAAATCTGCAATTCCTAGATTTGCACATGAAAAAATTCACAGGAAAAGATTCAAGAGTTGTTATAAAGAAGGGTAAGTTGCTGGAAAATTTCCAAAATTGACTGAAAAGAAGTTAACTGTATTTCCAATTTACCTCCAAACCATTTTGTATGAAATAATGTGAAAATGAACTTCAAAATGAATTCAACAATTTTTTTTATTTAATCACAATTAATGTATCCCAAGAAAGACAAAAATAAACACGATATTTTTCATTTTTTAAAAGTATAAATTATCTTTAAATATCTGATGTATTCAAAATATTTAAAACAGTCTTCGAGAAAAACAAAATCTTTTATGATGGTTGATTCATTTTTCTTAAAGCCCATCTTCAGTACAAGTTCATAAAATATTGAAATATGAAGATTCAGGTTGAGTTAGGAAGAAAGAAAGAAAAATATACGAGGGATTGAGTAGTGGGTGACTTGGGAACCATGCATCATTGTCTGAACTTGGAATAATTTATAATCATTGTACATTAACTAACATCACATGTGAAAACATGTTGACTATAAGAAAATAAATTTAATCTATAAGAAGCTTCAAAAAATTATATAAATACAATTAAAAAGATTCAAATCAATTTCTTGGATAGTGAACGTGTTAAGTTGCAAAACTAAATGCAAAAACTTGATATTCTTATAATTAACATAACTAATTAAGTTGATTCCCCCCACTATTTGGAATATGCCATTGAATTTGTTTCTCTGCTTTATGGTATGTGTAGCGATGTTTATTAAGACTATTTTGTGTACTATACGATCGTCCGCACAACTGACATCTGAAAATACCAGGGACAACGCTATGTTTATCACTAATATGACGACGCAAGCTGGCACGAGAGCTCAGAACTTTGCCACATTGTAGACATGTAACTTTTGGCAAATAATCTACGGAAGTGTTATTCTTCTGGGCAGATGTTTGGCAACCTGCAATAACAAACAATTCATTAGTGCTACACTTACAAAACCTCTCTGCCGAAGAGAATTCACAAGGGTAGTGACCTGAAAAGGAACTACAAAATAAATTAATAATAATAATACCTTAACTAATAATTTCTGAAAGAAAAATTGTGTTAATATCCATAGAATGTTAAACAAATGCAATAAAATATTTGTTTGATGGACATGAAGCCCATTTATTAAATATATGTACTTTAAATTAATAAAATAAATATACAATTAACATATTAAAGCTGCCCCTGACGTTGCAAATAAAACCACAATCCCACTCAGGTAGATACAAAATCTGCTCTGATACGCATTACAATTGAAGAGTGTAACCCCAAAATCTGCTAAGAATAATTTTTCTCTTTAATTTAGTTTAATAAAAACTCAGCTCTGTTCCATTGCCAATTTCTCCTAGAAACAACTACACACTACTGTAGTTTCTACACTTACTAAGGTGGAAAGAGTTGCCTCTTTATTTGCTGAGTACCATTCCTAGACAACTTTCTGATACACAAGACATTTTAGGATTCTGCTCTTCAATTAGTTGTTTTCTACCAGTGTCATTCTTCTTTAAAACAGATATAATGAATTAATGCATGAAACAAGATAGAAAGTCTGATTGAATAAATCCTTGAATAAGAGAGATCTTCACAACGTTGTGCAACTCAGAATTGCCAGATAATTTTAGCGTATAATTTAAATTGGAACTGCCAGAAAATTTAACACTTAATGGAAATACATCATTCGATTATTTGAAACTGAAAAAAGGAAGCATTATAATGCAAGCAAAAATATGTAAGTTTTCATAGTGGATTCGTAACCCTTGTTAACCTTAATTTCCGAACACAAAGTTCTCGCAACATCCTTCCTTTTAAGTTTATTGCTCAAAATACTCATTATTGTTCCAAAGATAGATCAATTATTGAAAAAATAGTTCACAGGTTAAGTCTTTAAAAATAGATATATTTTGCCCATTTTAATTTATTAAATGAGGTTAGTGTGTATCTTTCATAAAATACAAATTTTTGTATTGTCATTTTCAATTTTCACATTCTTGGTAAGCATTGTTTCAAAATCTGCTTGCTGTAAGTTTGCATTAAAAGTGAACACATCTGGTATTATATGCATGGACACTAATACTTTTTCCAAATCAATATTTTTTAAATTTTATATTCCATTTTCTGTTCTGAACAGCTTTTATTGAATTTAAAATAAAAGAACAATACAAGGATTCTTTAAGAGATGAATAAGGAAAAAAAAATAACCATGACACATTCCTTTATTTGTTTTATTATTACACCAACTATTATTGTAAGATAATACAGTGTCACTACGTGAAATGCGCTTCGCGCTAAATATCCTGATATGCCTATTTTATAATTATTATCATCCAGTATAAATTTTATATCAAAACAAAAGAACAGAAAAAATAATGGAACAATAGCTATCTTCTTTCTTAGAAAGTTGTATGTATGTATGTATGTATGTATGCATCTATGTACCAGTATTTGTCATGAGGTTAACTATGGTTTACTTTCTGAGGTGAGTTGAGGTATACAAGAACATACCCGAATGTCATCTATTTCACAGTGGTCACTGAGTGGTAAAACATGGATAATTGTACTGATTAAAAAGGCATCTTGTTGGAATGACATTTGTTCTGAAAACTATTGTAATGTTTAGGTAAGATAACTTGTGGTTGATTGTTTATACAACTGCTCTATTAAATCCTGAAGTTCAAAGATTAAATATGCTTATATAGATCTATAAGACCATCAAAGTCCATTTTACTTACATTGATAAGTTCATATCCTCTGTCTATATCAAACAAGACAATCCTTAATGTCTACTTGGAACTATGATTTGTTATTTGTACTGCAGCATACCATTGACAAACCAAACCTCCTCAAGTCTGTCTCAGAAAAACAAAAATGAAGATAAATGTAGAAAAGAACTCGAAATTTCTTCTTAAAAAATTGTATTTTCTACATCTACCTTCACTAATTAATTTATCTGCAGACAATACACATCGAATTCGGTTTTGGAGAAATGTAAAAGCTAGCAAAATATGAAAAAAGGGAGAAAATAAAATATGTTATACTTTTAACCAAGAAATATTAGCCTAAAGCAAATTAAATGACTTAATCAACACTTCAATGACAGAAGACCCAGACAAAAATGTATGTCCTAATAATTAAACAAAATAGGTCCCCTTATTCACAACTAAAGTAGATAATACTCAAATTAAAATAAACTATTACTAAATGTCTTTGAGTTCCAACATCTCCATGTTTCTACACACAACTGCATGAGTCACAGTTACAATCCTATCCTACATCATGAAGTATTGTAATACATCAAGGCCAAATTGAAAGCTACCTGATGTTGTATTGCAAAGTAAATGCAATAAGCAGGAACTATTTAAAAATAATACATTATATGTTTTGTAAAATGGAAATTCATGGTCTTATTCTGTACAAAATCAAAGTAATTTTTTTCATAAAAGTGTTTACCTCAAATATTTACAATATATAAAAACTTATACTACTGAATACTTTTAATTAATATATTTTGTGGAAGGCCTTGTTGGAACTAAAGTAACCCTGCCCCTTTACAAAAAAAATATATGATGTCTATTGTTAAAGATCCTAGTTCTAAATATACCATTTGCAGCAATCTGTCAAAAATTATGCATTTCATGCCATTTCCACAGTTACTGGGGAAATATCAAAACATTGTAAGCTTTTCACAAAGTCATGTGACTCTGCAATAGTTTTTTGGACACATGATATAAAGTCCTTCATTTTTAAAATTCATACAAAGAATTAAATGAGCTACATAAATGTAAAATTTGCAATGCTTCTAGGAAACACATTGGTTACACAAACCATCACCAAACTTCCAATGAATTTACCTACAAAATAAGATTACCAAGTTGAAAAGGCCGTTCTTGTTCTGAAGGTATTTGTTGCCAATATGAAAGATAAGTTTGAGTTTAATCAAAAATTAACATTTTAAGTTCAAAACATATGAAAAACTTACAGAAATGAACTTATCAAATGCACACACAATGTGACTTCAAGAGATGCATATACATGTAAGACACATCATGTAAGGCTATGCAAATATTGTTAAAACTCTGAGAAAGTGATAACATAAAATTCAGGAAGGACTTCATATCTCTGTACAATATTTTACAAGATAGATGTATGTACACAATTCTCTTATCATGAAATCAAAAGCGAAGTCTACATTATACTTACAAATTTTTCAAACAATACCAAAGATACACAATCACACAACAATGATATGTCTCTGATAAATACAATGATATTCACTGATAATATTCATTAACATGTTTACTGCATTTGATTATTTTATAAAACATTCATCAAGCAACCAACATGTCAAGAAAATATCTTTTACCAAACTTGGTTCATTTTGCTAGTGGGAAATACAAGCTCATGAACAAACTTGCCCTTGCTGAAATATCAACTATCTGACCTCTACATTAACAAGAATCAGATACATACATAACCGTGCCAACTACATACCAAAATGTTTATACTTTAGAATGGCAATATTTCCTACTTTGTCACTTCAAAGTTATAATTGCCTGATTCATTAGAGTGCTCAATCTAAGTCCACTGGACTACTGCATACATACGTTGTATTGCACAGTCAGTAATCCAGCACTCACAAGATGCACAAATTGTACTGTAACGTGTACAAGAATAAGTGCATTTCATTTAGTCAAAAACCTGTGAATATGGCAAGTACAGCAAATGTTTATAAATCTAGTGAAAAAATGTGCATTAGACATTAGAAACATTCACAACTGGCATTATTATTAACCCTGGATTAGATTCTTCCTTCCAAAAAGAGGAGAGGAATACAAAGAAATAATTATCAGAAATATCCATCCCAGTCAAAGTGAACCAAGTAAGGTGATTTTCTGATCCTGTTAGTTTTCATATATCATGAACAAGAATTAAATATTTATAAAGCAAGCTGGTGGTAGAGAGATGGCCATATGATTCTCAGAAAACCAGATTACATCTTGGATTCATGGAACATCAGATGAGTACCAGTATTAAACACACTTAACACAAATATATTGTATTATGAAAGTGGTACCATGCCTCTATACTGAAAAGTTCATAAATCTACACAAACCCAAGACTAATGGGAACAGATACAGCTCTGAATACCAGATGAGCTTGTAGAAGTTCATCGCTTTCGACTTCCTTCACATCTATTTTAACTTACATTTTATCACCACAATATAAAATATTTACAACCCACAATTCTGTTGTACACACATCAACAAGTGTGAAATTTCATGCAGTGTTTTATGGTCATAAAATTAATCATTCAGTCAACTGAAATAGTATCAGTAATTGTTTAAAGTACATGTGCGTCTGACAATACAATTCGATTGAAATTTGAGATCCTTTAATTTGAATGCAAATGAAAAATTCTAATCTACTATTATATCACTCATTTTAAAACACAAGGTTACATCACGAAGCTGCCCAGCAATTCATAACCTACATAATTTAACATACAACCCTTCCACATTTAAGAACAGTTTTAACAATTGTAATTGAATCCAATTCCACCATCAAATGTCATGAATGCCACAAAAAACAATAAATAATATTTTTATTTATACGAATAATTAAGAGATAAAAACTGTCGGACTTCATCAAAATATCAATATCATCCAATTGGAGACATATCTATTGGTTTATGAAGTCTCTACTTAAAAAAAATGTTAAAATAACAACTAAGTACATTAAATAGAAAATTTTCAGTCACTTTTCAAAAATCACAATCAATTAGGTAAACAATTCCAGTTCACGTTATTGTATTCAAATCAAATAAATGCGAAGTCTTTGGTACACATTTATCACAAAAGCATAATTTTAATGAAATAATTTTATGTTATTTTTGACAAATAAACTTGTTAATGACATTTTCTTTACAAAGAAACCACTAAAAGGCCTTAGAAATTTCACAGCACCATTTCTCTTCCATCATTACATAAGCACAAATTCATTAAATCATCTGAGAACACACAACTTAAATACAAGAATGGCCAAGTACTTGCAAAAATTTACAGATAACTTGTCTGAAACCTTGAAACAAATATTTTCATGCAAAATGCAGATAAAATAACTTAAATAAAATATTACTGACAGCACATGATTTCCATCTAATTGGCATGGAAATTTTACACACAAAGTAAACAATGAGCCTTCCACATGAATCCCATTACCAAGCCAATTCAATAACCTTTTCAATAGTTTCATGTTTTAATAATGAATCACATAACTATATATTTATATATAATATATTTACTATACTTAAATCAAATATCTACTTAAAAATCCATTACATTCAACATTCAATTTTCTTTGTTTAAAAGTAATACTCATTAAATACTGTACATTGCTCAATAACAATCGAAAGTCGATGAAAAAGCACAACACCAATTTCATAATTATTATGCATGCCATTGGAAATTATTTTGCTATCTTATCCTTTTAAAAAGAGTTAACTTGTAGACTAAAATGTAAATCACAAATTTCGAAAACACATTAAGTCTGGAGAGGACCATCCATAAACTTCAATTGTATGTTATTTTACAAAGAGAACAAGCACAGAGAATTGTACACATTTTTGCATGGTACTGCAGACTAAACATCAAACACATTTTTTGATATACATAATATGAAATACCATATATCTGCATACATAATGAAAATAATGTGCACACTCACAAGATTAAATGATGAGCGGTTTTTACTCATCAGTTCCCAGCCGTGTACATTTTTTTTACAGAGATGCTTTATGAACACAATACTAGTTTTAAAAAGGACCATAATATTATTTGGCTTCTAACCACAGTTATACTTGAATGTGTCATCAAGCTTATTTGTACTTGTAGGCATTGATGCATATTTTACTGCATACAAAAATATCTCATGCTTGAAATGTATGTTTGGATACTTGGTGTTCAAAGTGTTTAACATAGTACAGAAAAAGGCAGCACACAGACAAGGTAAAAGAACATTAGCAGTTTCACTGCTTCATGATTGCCAAGGTTTTATTTCACTGTGTTAGGCCTTTCCTACAAAATATAATTAAAGTGATGTTTTTGAAATTTGTAATGCTGAACTAATTATCAAGGCATGTGACCAGCAATCTCCACCATCCTTAAAAGCACTATTCAGGGAACCATCACAAATTCAAAACACACACGTTTAACAATGTAGTATTTGCATGTCCGTGCAAATTCCTTTGTTTCCAAGCATAACTTCTAATAAAAACCAAATAACATCATTCCATGGCAATCCGAGATAGCATGCCCACACTGATATATTTATTTTAATAAATTTATATATGTATATATATTGTACCTTATACATCATAAGCTACGTTGGAAGAAGAGAACCCAACAAGTGGAGGCACTATGCTGATTTGAGTCGGGATAAAATGTTTGTACTACAGAAACAATAACGTCCTGTCAGAAGGCATAATTCTCAATTGTCAGAAAATAATGACACGTTTATCCTAAATATATGTATATATGAGAGGAATTTATGAATGGCCCCAAAATTCAATTCAAAATGCTAATACATAGATTTATATACATATTTCTTGGCACATATTAAATTGAGTGAAAAGGACACCCTCCCTGCCTGGCAATAATAATTTATATTTTCCTTAAAAAAAGAACAAGTTACTATTGATGTCTGCAGTGTAGGATCAATTAAAAACCCTAAGATAGTTTTGTACTTTAGTTCAGAAAGGCTGATCAAATGAAATGTGTGTATAATTATTTATGAAAATTTCAAAACTTTTCCACTTGACAAATTTTTAAACATGGCAATCAATAATCAATCTTCAATCATCCAACAGGATAATTAATAAGAACATCCGATTTGCTTAAATGGCATCATGTATAGACATGTTATCAATTATTTCTTACCAAGAACCAACATTCAAAACTATCAATCTACCATACTGAACCATTTACCAGACCAAACACGAAACATAACATCTGGAATGAATTCTCATCTCAAGGATAATATATCTGCTACACTACCCTAGCATCACCTAATACATTACTTAAAACATTCACTATGTACTTATTATTACTGTTGTTGTTACATTCACATGTCTTTGAATGTTATTTTATTTTTTCTCCTTTTTCACAGCAATTTTCAATCCTGTTGTAACTGCATTAACAATGTCAAGAAACATTACATAATTAACATATACACCAAGCCACTCATTTTCCGCAACAAACATCTTATCATTAATTTATGAGATATTTATTAAAACTCTGTAACCCAAGGGAAAACAATGTACTGTTTACCCACAATCGTCAAAGTCGACAAGCTTCTTTAAAACGAAGACTTCTTGCACTTGAATAAATCAGTCGGTGTGCACATACACTACCACTTGAAAATTGAATATTAAGCTTCTCTTCCATGAAGAAATAGTTCTTCCTGTTCCTTTCTATTCAGTATGATACATAATGTCATGTACGTAGGGCATCACTCTGCACAAGCACAAGTTCAGGCAATATTCTCCAGACCACCAAACTGTCTGCATCTCACAGAATCATTTTATGAATGAATACATACCTCGATGTTCATTACATCTCTTCTGGCATCAATATAACACAATTCTCAAACACATCTTGTTTCTTGGTTCAGAGAAGGTCAAAACAAAAATAAAAATAATAATATAATAGTTCTAATCACTGAATTAAGAAAGTCACAACGGCTTATAAACTACAAAAATAAATAATCAGTGCATATAAATAGCAACTGTCTCAAAACACAAAAGTTTCTTATAGAGGTTTGCAATAAATATCTCAGAAACAATTTAGTTCAAGATCTATCCAGCACTTCACTTTTGAATTCCTGCTTAGCAAAAGTGTTGCAGCAGAGACAAATTCACATTAATGATACACAAATTCTCTTCAATAGTAGTGTAACATAGTAATAACATAAATTTGTACTTGCTACATGTATTCACATGGAAAGTGTCTTCATACCAGCTTATCTCCATTTTTAATTGTCAATAAAATGAATATGCGGTATCTTCATTCACTGTTGGGTAGGAACTCATCACATGTCCTCTAAAACTCAAGTTATTGAAAAACTTCCAGTGATAAAATCAATTTTTTCAGAGAAAAATAATGTTGCTATATGTTGATGAAACTATTTTAAAAATTAAAAGGGGAAAACATAAATGAATGAATAAAAAAAAATCAGAGGCAATTTTCCCAGCTTTGTTTCCTAACATTGTTCCTCTTTGAACACATATAAAAAGAAAATCCTTCAAAAATATTGCACACAAGTTTCTCAGAATTAATTTTCAGAAAATTGTTGCATTATTTATTGTTTCTTTTTTATTTATTTATTTACTTTTTGAATCTTCACAGGAATTTATTTTGCAAATGAGATAGTGAATAACAAAACTGAAAACAGACTTCTAGAAATAAAAAAGAATCTTCCTATTAATCAGCCAATTAAGCTGTTTAACAGTTGTCTGAATCAAACTGAGTTTTGAACAATGCCAAAGGTCTCTTTTACGGACATAGCTACTAAGTAGAGATAATTCAAAACGTTTAATTGATAAATCACACCCGTTCATTATTTGTGTTCACATTATATTACCTATGTTACTCTCAATTTTTTGAGGAATCACTTACTAATAAGATAGGAAAGAAAGCTGGGTATTTTCCTAGAAGCAATAGTTTTCTCAATTTATCTGATTTCACAATAAGCTATTATCAACCTCCTAGTACATATGAAATTCATTACATTATTTTAAAATTAACTGACTAAATAAAATTTACTTTAAAGAATATTGTTGGTGAAACAATAAAAAACAACTATTTTCAATGCAAAAGGTATATACGCACAACCACTCTTATAAATTTCTTATTAATCATTAAGCTGCAGTTTTGTACCACTACTCAATAATATGACTGAAATAAAGCACCAGAAAAAATGTGATATGTGATATAATTCATCATATACTTTAAACATAAAGCAATTGTCACTCTACTTTGAATGATTTCGTGCAATAAGCATTATTGACAACATTCTTAGACACCATGTTAATAAATAATTTACAGCACTTGACATTGGAAAGTTGAGAAAATTATGATAAATACACTAGCAAATATGACTTGTCAAAAACTTAAACTGAAGCATTACAGCAGACAATTAATATTTAATAAATTATTGTATGTAAGAAAAGCTGATAGCTGCTATCATATAAGATAATAATCTTCCCTGACACAGAAAGCTCTTGTTATAAAAATCCCTGAAATAATATGAATTGCAGCAGAATTTCAGCATATAGCACTGGCCTCCTCTTCCATGTCATAATGCATGTTCCACAACGTAAGACATGCATTATACATGGCAGTTACAGAAAAAGCAGCAATACAGTAGAGTAGCAGTAAATTATGAATTAAGACAGTGTAAGAAGATTGTGAAATCTGGTGTAACCGTACCCGTAAATTTGCTCAACATGATATGATCATGCTTCGAAATTATTATACTTAAATATAGAAAATATTCTTAATGATGCCATACATATCTTTAAAATTTCTAACATTCTACTGACAAACAAATTCATAGAATCTGATGTAATTAAGTTTGAAATATATTCTTGCCTTCTTTCACTGTACAAGCAATGGAATTAAATATAAAATAATACTTCTATTACAAAGGGTGTTATATAAAACAACATATAATGCGACAAAAACATTGCCAAGCAATATTGGGAATCATATCTTCACTGGGAAGCAGCATTTACACTTCAGTAAAATGTTATTATTTTGTTTCAAAATATATGATTTAAAACTATTTGCTGGATGGTGAAACACTGCATCGACTTAGTAATAGTCTCAATATCTTCTATAGTGTATTGTCAGTATAAAAACGAATGCTGTAAGCAATGAAATTTAGTACCTCACAGAATAACAGATCATCTCAAAAATTTATGAATGTTCTTGATTTTTTTTCTTCAAATTCCAAGAGTTTAGATTATCTAAAAAAATAGTGGTATTGGCCAACATTTGTACTTTTGAACCATGGAGGACTGTGATACATATATGCCACAAGCATTTTTTGTAGTTTGGAAAGTAACATTGCCTGTGAACCTGGCTAGAGGTATATCAATCTTAGACACATATTTCAAGATCGTACAGTCACCAGCCTAACCATTTCATGATTATAACTGAAAGCAAATGAAAATGAATGTGAATAAAAATTTAGATCTGCAAAATAGCTAAAAGGTTAAACAAATTAAACAGGAAAACTGAGATAACCTGTAGCTCATCAAATAATTTCATTACAGCATGAACCTGATTTCTCCAAAGAACATATTCCACACAAACAAGATTTGAAATATACACATATGTAATATCAGAAAACGAGAGCCTACATAAACAGTGCTGCAAATTCAGATGAGTTTTATGTAGAATTTTTACACCAATAGAAGTTCTAATCGAATGAACATTCAATATCTTGACACTTTTCTGCTTTTTTTGTCACCATAAGCAGAATTAAAAGTTTCTATCATATTTTTACTTTCTTGTTTTCAGTTTCTCTAGTGTTAATTACCACTGATGTTAAATAAGGTTGCAAACTTACATCCCAACGAAATGCACACATTAAAAAACACCAATTTGAAGAGAAAATAAAATGTAGTTGTGATTTGTTGCAATTCAAAGAAAGAATACTGATAAAAAATACTAAAATATTCATAAAATTTCTTAAACAACAAACAAATGTTGTAAAAAGCTATTAGTGACAAATTATATATTTCAACAAATGAATATGTTAGAAAAGTAAGTTCACTAGTTATCCAATAACTATCGAAAAAACATTCGCTCACTTAAATTAAGACTAAAATTTTATTCAATTAATCCAAATTTGCCTGTGAGATAGGTAATAATTATCACACGCATTGGAAATTTAAGAAAATCCATTACTAATTAGGTACTTAAATTCTGGGCCAGGACATTCCTTGACATAATTTATCAAAATCACAGAATCAAAATACTTTCGAAGGTAAGATTACAACTTCAAGAATCAGTTGCACGAGATCAAAGCTTCAAAACACCACCCAGAAGTAATGTAAAAGAAACATCTAGGTAAAAGTGGGTGGGAAGGAACTTATAAAACAGGAAATGTAGCCAGCGAAGGCTGATGACTGTCGCAAATGCAATTTCATGAATATTGTAAAATGCTAAGCTCACAGGATTCTATGCAAGATGGATTCAAAACAGTAATTCCCAAACTCTACACCATCAACGCTATGGCTAAATTATACCTGAAAAGCAGACTTATCAAAAAGAGGTAGCTATTTTCTTCCTTCCTTCCTTTCAACATCCCAATGTGCAAAAACCATGTAATACACGAGCACACAATATATCTGAGTATCACTTTTCAAAATAATGCACATAAGAATAACACTTTTGACTTTTACTGTGTTACAAGTATTACATGGTTCATGCGTGACACTAAGCAAAATCTGTGCAGAGGAATATACCTGAGTTCAAAACAATGTTTGGGAACCACTGTTACTACATATCAGTCAGATGGATAAGGTATCATTCACTGCCCAATCCTTGCAGCTGCTCAGAAAGAACAACTTCCTCAGTGCTCAACACAACTTTCTTTCTACAATGGTGGCTGCCCCAGAACGTTCTGTAAGGCAGAGTTCTTGAGCAGACGCTTGAGCATGCCACTGGAGCCGCGGTGCTGCAGGCTCTTGTGAGTGGTCAGGCTGTTCTTGGTGCGGTATCGGCGGTGGCAGAATTCACACACGTACAGTGTGTCCGAATGTTCATGCTTGTCTTGGAAGTGGCGCTTGAGCGAGTAGTAACAAGAAAACGTGCGACGGCAATAAGGACATTCCTGAGGTTCATTAATGCCTCCACTCGTGGGGGGAGGGACGCGATATTGTACTCCACCTGCAAAAATAACGAAGAGGCACACACATATGTACAGTATATGCTACCTAAAAGAATATCAGTAAGGATAATAAGTGCAAAAGCAAACAACACAAAGAATTAAATAGCATGCAAACTTCAACTTCCATCATTCCACATTTTGTTGTTATTCTGTGCTTCAAGAAAATATTTAACATGACAGGATAATTGTATTTCTTTATCTTTGAGGAAAAAACAACAAGTACTTCAATGGAATTTTTAAGGGCTATTCATTTTAAACCATACCATGCAGTCACGCTAGAAACAACTGCAAAAATGAAAGTAAACTAGCAATAAGAGATATTTTTTTACGCATTTAACAACACTGTGCTACACAGAAACAACACAGTGCGAAGTAGCAAACTCCCAACCTTGCTTCCCACTCTGTTTCAATAAACATAAGACTATAATATACTATGAGGAATATATATTATATTTTATAATCATGCTAGCCTATAAAACAGCATGAGAAACTACAAATTGTATTTAGCCAACAGAAGGAATTAAAGAAAATAAATCGGAAACCAACTGAACATTAACAATACATACTAAGAGCACACATTATTAAGATGGCATTGCTTCTTTTGGATTACTCAGCAGAAGATTGGATAACATGAATGCAAGAAAAATGAGACCGCCTTTTTTATTCCATTATTAGCAACGTACATTAACTTTGCTAATAATATGCTCATGAATACTGTAAATATTAGAAGAGTACATGCTGATTTGCACAGCACCCGATGTGAAGAGTATTTGATGAACAACAGTCGGTGAAAACCGGTCTGACTTCCACAATTTCATTATCCTAATATTAATTGTAATAATTTTCCAGGGAAAGTAGAAATCTCATGTGGATTTTCATTTTTCTTGCAGATTTCTTACATAACAAAATTTCTGAGGATTAGTGTACATTCTTTGTCTTTTGTGATCTCACAACAAGGAAAATATAACATTTCCTAAATCTATGCAAAATAAATATATATAATTATTTATTGGAACAATTGGCAAAATTTTTGCAAATGAAGCTAAAAAAAGTGATCATAACACTGAAATCAAAAGAACTACCGGCAAATCTTAATGATCTACAAACATTCATGGCAGGCAAGCCAAAAATATTCTATCACCAGGCATACAAAATAAAATACAGATTGCTGAAATCAAGTACTTCGTACTTCAAAAAAATCTAGATCATTTCATCTATATACCAAAAGTTCACTGCAAAAGCAACAACACATCAGTTCCGGTACAGCATGCCACAAAGAAGCTCTTTCTAATTACCCTTATTGTGCCTAATGCAACACAACTTCCCTATGACAATACTTTCATTAAATTTTCTACCATCTTACTTCACAACATCTTTGAATGACATTAGAGCACATGGAAATACCACACTAATTAACATATATTCAACCACTTTGTCACAGAAAAATGTTTCTCTGTTAGTCAAATTCTGTCATCAATTCTTTAAGGAATTCTGTTTCTGTAGATGCTTTCCTTGTCAACTAACTTCATTTCTGCTCTTAACTGGAAACACGTACAACAAGTCTGGAATATTTTTTGTCACAGTTCTGTTCATTTCAACTTCATAGAATAAAAAAAATTCATGAAGAATATTAAAAGATGGGAGATTAGCTATACACTAGTTAATGCATGTCAGCATAGAAGCATGAAAATAAAGCACAACCAAAACTAACATGCAAAAACCCAAAAGCAAAGAAAGCATAACTTAAAAAAGAAATGAAAATAAAAAATATAAACACCAGCATAAACAGTGAATAAAAATCCAAGACATTCTTCTCTCAATACTTGGGAGGGGAAGGGTCAAAGGAATATTCAGATAACACACATTCTTGCTCTGCTGTTCAATATTGGAAAATGCCAATAAAAAAGTCACCGGTTTGATAGGCATCATTCCTCACACACACTTACAAATGTTCGTGAAATACAATTTCTTGCCTGATTAAAAACCAAAAAATAGAAAGATGGAAGTTGATTCACATCTCAATTCCAAATATATTTTAAAAAATGTTTACATATCTTGACTTTTACCACTTAAGATATTAAATTCTAAACAAGTAAAGAGGGGAAAAATGACGAGTTTCAAAAGACTTCAATGATTGATACCTTATAGGTTGTGAGACAAGTATGAAGGATTTCTGTGGAAGGTGTGTTAGATGACTCCTAATAGAATTTAATGTCGGCTTCTCCGGGCCTGGTTTTGTGGTAGGTGTAGATGTGGGTCATAAGACTGTTGCGCGAGCAGTAAACGCGTTCACAGATGATGCAGCGGTACTCCTCCTGGCGCTCAGCGTGCTTGTCAGCAACATGTCGCTTGAGGCTGGCTTTAGAGCAAAGCACTTTACTGCACAGCTGGCAAGGAAAAACTTTCTTGACCAATCCTGCAAAAACATAACACATAAAAAAAGATGGACTTATGAGGAGAGGGAAGAACAAGATGAACCAAAAATATATACTGTAATAGAAAATAAAACAAAACACCTATTGGGTTGTAAATGTCAAGTCTTGTGTTTACTAGCACTTGAAAAATAAATATGCAAAGGAAAGTTGAGGATCAATATTTTTTTTGTCTTTACCAAATACTAAGGAGCTATAAAATGTTCATTAAAAATTCTGAAATAAATGAATAACTTGTTCAGTAATGATGATCAAAACAAGATATTAATCTTTATGCTTCAGCTTTTAAAGGCATCTAAATGCACTTGCAATAAATGCAGAGATACTATGCACTCAGAAATTCAAAAGGACTGTTCTGAATTTATAAGCAATTAAAAAAATAAGGAGATACTGAAATTCTCGTTTGTCCATGCCTTCAAAAGCAGCAAAAGGTAACTTGTTAGCAGTGCTGTTGCTGCTATAAATGCAGCCAAAAATTAAAAAAGAAAACAAGCATACAATAGCATTTTTTGCAGAAAGCAAAGTTTTCAGATGGAATATTGAAGAGAGAATGACTGTCTTGTTTAAGAATTTTAGCTACCTAACAGATATATTGCATTACAGAATTTCAAGAGAACATTAAAGGAATCCAATGCAAAAAATTAGATATTGTTAAGATTCATAAACATGCTCCTCTAAAATTTTCTGATGAACATAAGGTTTTCCAATTTACTGTTAGTAGTGGCAATGAAGAGCAAGACTGCACTTTAAAGTAAAATTCATTAGCAAAACAAGTCTAATTTTAGAAGCATCACTTAGCACATACAGTGAAATCCCATTGCCATTGAAAAGTAGAAAAGGACAAGGGAAAAAAAGGGTCCAGTGAATGGATGGAGATCATGATGGATTATTAGAGTAAATAAGAAATAAGTTCTAATTACTGTTTACCACAAGAAAAACAGCATCAATTATTAAAAGCTGAGTAAATACATATAAAACATTTACAATAAAATTATACAAAAATTATAAGCATGCATAATAAAATTCTGCACAACATAATACTAACACAAAAATGAAACACGATTAAAACAAATCCATTAAAAAGAAAAAAGAGAGAAAATAAAGTAGCAGCTAAAATATACACTGAAAACTGGCACAGGAAATTACGTACTTAAGTATTTGCATTAGTTTACAACTGTCACACCACAAGATTCATTTTATAATACCCATCTTATAATATCCTTGCATACACCATTATACAGATCACACAGTTGGGTCTTTTTAGTTTAAACCATTATACCAGCACCTATTTGTCCATAACTTTTGATTTATTTTCTAAATGAATCACTTACTAGCAAACATTTTTCAGAGTGAAAGAATTAACTAAATTCCAAAACTTATAGTTCCCAGACTTGTGGCAATTGCTTTAAATAAAATTTGCTAATGGTCACTATGATTCAGGGGAGATAAAAATCTGACAGATTCGTAAAATATTTGAATAACAGACCAACTTATGGCACAGTATCATCTAGCATCATAGAATGTAGTAAGAGAATTATTATTTCCTAATTAAACACTACCTACACATTAGACAAACATTCGTTTGATGTTTTACACATCACTTTGAATTTCTTTTATAACAATTTTACTGATAATTACCCATTTAACTTTCAATATTTCACAGCCATTAAAGTTAAAAATGTTTTTAGAACAATTGATTTTTCTTTTCCGTTAGTAATGCAAGGTCTCTTGTGATTTCCAGATAACAATACCACCATCAAATTCAATTGTTCAAACAGGTGAAATTCAGAGGTATAATTGGCATTAAAAATGTCAGTTTGATGACAAAAAAAAGAAGTTCACAAAAATACCTCGAAATCTATAATAAATATTGACATGTGTCAATTGAATATGTTTACGCAAATGCTGCCATGGAACTGGGAGAATAAAAAGAAATAGATCATTAAAAATTTACATAGAATATTTAATAATCAATCACATGGCACAATCTATCACAATATTTAATCTAAACACTCCAATCTAAACTATTGATTAACCTGAAGCATGAGTACACATTCTAGACATTTTAATAGGACTATAAAAATCAGATTTGTATGCAATACACAAACAAAAATTTGGTCCTAGAGTATATCACAATCTCCTGATATCTTGTTCAACAGTAGCAACAAAAGTGGCACCATGCAAATGTAGATTTCAAACAATACAGCACATAAATTCACGTTCTTTTAAGACCCTTACACCAATTCAACATACTGCAAAAGATGATAATTAATTTCAAACGCTTATAATAAATAACTGCCCTATTTCACTTCAGCATCTACCATATATTCATGTTTTGCTGCCCCACATACTACTCAATCATGAAACAGATGAAAACGAGTATCTAACTAGTCATCCAAATAGGCTATTTGTTCAATATCCTAATTTCACATTTTGTCATTTTCAAACATTCTTCTTTCTTCTGTTCCTGAAATAATATCAGATTCCAATGTGTTCACTGAAGACTGGGTGTCCAATCTTTCGTCTCTTTAGATTTACGATGATAAATACTGCGATGATTGTTGAGAGAGTTCATTGTACGAAATACTTTATTGCACACCGTGCAAACAGCTTTATGTAGAGGTTGTATGTGCTGCTGTTCTTTATGTCTCTTTAGAGTCAATCTAGTGCTCAGCACCTTCCAACACACATCGCAGCGATGTTCAGTGGGGGTTGCAGGGTTAGAGGGAGTGAATGACCAAGACGAGCCGTCTTGCAGCGGAGGCAAGTGCTGGGGCTGTGGGCTGCTGGGACCTTCTTCCGCACCCACCGGGAACAGACAAAGAGCACGCATTATCCTCTGTGCTGTACTGTTCTCGCGGATTGCTTGTGCTGCACACTGTCTTCCACATATTTTTTGGCTTTGCATTTGTAAGCCTCTACAATCCCTATATCTTGCAAATTTAGGAATTTCAGGCAGTCTCCCCATACAAAAGCACAAAATTTCTAAAGAATAAAGGGCACTTCTCTGATTATTAAGAAATATTTAAATAAAAATAAAATTTAGAAAGATGTACTCAGGAGTTTTAAAAAATGTTTATCACAGAAGATTTTACACACTACTGTAGTTTTCATCATGAAAGACTTTCAGCCCTACGCAGTAGAAATAACCTGTGGCTTAATACTTTACCCCTAACTTATCATGTAAAGAACACAATATCTAATAAAACAAAAGCAAGAAAGAAAACTAGCAATCATTCCAGACCATGGGTATACATTATAGATCATTAATTACCAATGTAAGGCAGAAATATAATTTTATTTCAGCGTATTTCATAACAAAAATTATGTACATTTTCTAGTTAACAAAATGACCTACTCAGTATTTGTTACCATATCATCTAATGATTTACAATACAAAATAATACAACAATAGCATTATGTTTAACGCTACAATCCTTATTTCTGACCCACTACACATCGGTTATTCAATTTCTCATACTCACATGATTAACATAGAGCCCAAACAAAGGACGTTTCACATTCTATGCAGTTCAAAGATTCAAATTGATCACACACACAATTCAAGCAATTATCTAAGTAATCTGTGCAATGCAACTACATAATTTTCTGTATGTCCTTCATCACAATAGCTAATGTTCAAGTTACAAATAACCATTATGAAAGAAAAGCATTTTAATGCAAATATACAATGCAGTCTTGTAAAAATGTCAAATTAAAAATATTCAAAAAATCCCATACAATTGGAAGTGTCTTCTGAGTAATCATTCAATGAAGTAAGCCACTATTTAACAGTCATGAAAGTGACTTCACAAACACCAAAGATACTACATACAATTGGGTTTGTATTTGTTTCTAGTATGCACATTTTAGGTAATCTTTTTAATGTTCAGAGGTGTACTTTGTACATTGTTTCTATTTTGACGATGATAGATACTTCTATGGTTGCGCAGACTGTTTTGTGTACTGTACACTTTGTTACAAATGTTGCATGTAGGTGCCTCACTTGGATGCATATGAACATTCTCAATATGGCGGCGCAAACTCTGAGATGAGAGCAGAATTTTGCCACACTGCTCACATTGAAACTTTCCCGCAACAAAACCTGACAAGAGAGAGACTCACCATTAGGGCTTTCAAGTGCACACATATCACAAAAGCATGAAGCAATTTACTATACATTTATACTGTATGAAATAATGAATGCCTAGCTAAAAAAATATATTTTTCAAATTCATACAAGAAAATGGAAGAAGTAGAAAACATATTCACTATTATGAAACAATGACCGAAAACTCAATATACGGTTATCTAGTTCTACAAGGCAATAAAAAAGATATGCACACTGTCATCAACAACAAAGAGAACATAATCATGAACTATAAAAATATTTTGGACATATGTAAATGATGTTAGTGATTTGCTACATAATTCTGATTTAAGCTAACTGCATAATTTACGCATTTGTCCTTAACATTCTACCCAACTTTGCAAAATGCAAAAAATATAAACCAATTTCTAGAATAAATGGGAAGAATATTTATTTTTATTTGGTATGGCCTAAAAGTGCCTGAAATATACAAATGTAAAATGACATTATGTATGTGCCTGATGAATCATAGGCAGCTGCATAATTCTTACACACAATAAACACTATTTAGCTTTTACATTAGTTATCAAAATATTTTCATGCTTTGAAATAAATTCAATAGCAAAGCAATTGAGTAAAATGAAATGTACACCTTTCAAAAAAGTTATTGTTTCTACTTCATCACGATTGTTTTCCCCTTCAATAACAAAAAATTAACTTCCAAGAATTCAATAGCTAAAAAAACAGAAGACAACACTATTTTCTTAAAATTATCTTAGTAATATGCCAGACCTAAATGAAACATACTTTTCATTAGCTCCTTCACGAATGTAAATTTAATTGACCAAGAAAACCCAAAACAATTTTTTTCCAATGGAAAATTTATCTTTCTATAAAACAATCTTCTAAGAAGAGACTATAAATCATATTAATTTGCTCACATTTTAAAATTACACAAACTTGGTTTCAGAACATATTTCACAGCATTTTCAGCTCAAACATAATTAACTTAAATTTTCAGTTCGATCCAGTTACACAAATTGTTAGTAACTTTCAAAATGTTAAAATACAAATTTTCACATTATTTCAAAGAGCATCAATTGAATTATTTTCACAAATGTAATAAAAATATCCTCTATCTGCTCAGAATCAAATTAACACAATTTGTTTAAAAAAATTTGTAGAATGTTAATTCTAAAAGCAAAGTTCCATCACCAGTTCCTTAACTGATAGTATTTAAAATACTGTTACAAAATATCAATAAATAATTAAATTACACAGCATGTATACAGGAAAAACCTGTCTTAAAATTGGGGTGTAAATAGAAAAGTCATTCAAACTCCTATAGAGTCCCCACACAATTATAAAGGCTGTGAAGGCGGTGGTGGCGGTGGCGGCGGCGGTGGTGGTGGCAACAATGATTGGGGTGTGGTAGGCAATTTAATCACATGTGAGGTTTTATTTTTCTGATGATATTTGCATAAGTGAACTACTAAACTATTCTTTGTTCGATAACACTTCCTACAAATTTCACACCAAAACTGCTCTGTCTGCATGCGATGGAGGTCGAGGATATGCCTCTTGAGAGTAATCGCGCTGCGCAGCACTTTCCCACACTCAGGACATATGAATCCTCGCGCAGCTTCAAATCTCAACTCATTTTGGATTTTCTCTCGCATCGGTAACCAGGCAGGTGGGTCCTCCACTCCAACACCTATGTTGAGGGAAACCAAAAACAAAGAGGACAACGGTTAGGGACTTCATTACTACTCAGCCATCATTATTACTTATTGTTGAGCTTCTACTCATTTAAATGCCAATATTTAGGCAACAAATTCCAGGTTTCATGAAATATATACAGCACCAACCAAAAAGATGTTTTACACAGTTCAGCAGCTAAGCTGCAGGTGCAATATCAATAGATCCACAAATTTTAGCATGTGGTGGTGACAAATAACAATAATAGAAGCATAATACTGTCACAGAAAATATATACCAAACATCATCTTGACAAAGTAAAATTGATTATAATCCAATCTGACACAGAAAATAAAAAACTTAAATATTTCATGATGGCCAAGTCCTAACCTCTGTCCTCTTAGATTTCCCCCAAAATATGAATGATGTTCTCACATAAGCCTACACTTTGGGTATCAATATACAAAAGCTTAGAAGTGGTCATTTACTGCAGTTTTTAACATTTGTCAAAAACTTCAAAAACTCTCAACAGCAACTACCCACTTTGAATTACATAATTCTAGAAAGTAAATCCAAACTCATTACTTAAAGCAAAAAGCTTGCACCACAACCCCATAGTGAAATAAAATCTCTGAATTTATCAGAGATAATTCATCATTAAAAAATTTCTACAGACAATGCCTCAATGGACAACACAAATGTTAAAGCTAATTAACATGTTTCTTCATGCAACAACGGTTCACTGCTGTCTGTCGAGTTTGCAGAAGCAGCTGCAGTGCTAGAGAGAGAGTCCCTTGCCCCGGAAGGGTCCACCCTGCCCTCCCACGGCCGAGAGGCTTTCTTCCGGTGGTACCGACTCATATGGACCATGAGGCTGTTCCTTGTACGATATTCACGATTACATAATGTGCATTTTGAAGCATAAAGTGGCTCCTGATGCATGTGCAACACATGTCGTGCAAGCGTGTCTCGATTCAGAAGACACCTGTCGCAATGTGGGCATTGGAGAGTGCCCTTGCTGGGTCGTCCCGAGCCCTCGCTCCCCCACCCACGACCACTCCCACAGCCACTCACACCACTCTGCTTCGTCAGCGCAAACGAACGAACTCCTCCACCACCACCTAGCAACAGAAAACCAACGCGAGAATTAGTCCCGCATTTTACTTCACGTTGTTCTACTACTTGCTGGATGTGGAGGAGTTTGAGCCCGTTTTATCACATCTCTCTTTCAGGGCGAGACAGTAGGTTACTAACAAAACTCTATAGAAGGCAATGCACTAGAGTTCTTAATTTAGAATATGAGTGTACTCTTGCTCACAACACTCTTGCTATTAGTCAATTCTTTAATATAAAAGATCCGCAAAGATGCAAATAAGCTGATTAGTTAGTAATAGTGTGTCATTCTAAGAAAGAGAATTATTCAAAACTGTAGATTAATGAAGAAGATAAAATTTTGAAAGTATGAAAAGTAAATTTTGAAAGTTGTCCAAAGAGCATAGCCCTAATTCATCAAACATCTGGAATACAAGTATAAATTGAAATGACAATTACAGCAATTCCTTTACCAGTGGCATTCAATGCATATTACAATTGCTTTAATTTAAATGTGATAATGTTGTCCAGTTTAACAGTACACCTCCATCCATTAATGGTGTCTCAATATCCATTAATCCATTATCCAGAATCCATTAATAATCAATCACAGAACAAATCACAACTTTGGCTATAGTACATTGCATCCACATAATCCTTCAGTCTCATCAAGTTTTTACTGTCCAAGTATATTTCTATGAACCTGTGATTTGTGAGAAATAAGACTGCTCTTTGTGCTGTACATCCTGTGACATATGTCACAAACAAAGGATCGTTCTCCCCCCCGCCAATGGACATCTTCCATATGTCTTTGCAAAGACCAACTACGGCTGAAAGACTTCAAGCACAAACCACAAAATGGGCGTTCTCCTTCATGCACTGTCTCTGAGCCCATCACTTCAGAGAAAGTACTAGTTCCTGTCTGATTATCATTCATAGTTTTAAAAGATCCATCACTGTGTCCCTGATGAAACTTGCACACCCTGTGAGATGAATTATGAACAAACTCCACACTTTTGTCTGTCTGGCAACCCAACGGCAGCAAAGCTGCAAGCAAGAAAAATTCTATTCTAACACTCAACTTCTGTAAATTCTGTTAGGTAACATAATTTCCAAAGCATGTAAGAAGTGGGGCAGGACAGATAAATGTTTAAAACAAAGAATTTTCACTTTAAATGAACAAAAGGGAGCAGTACTTAAAACCCCTGATAATGAGTAACAGCACTCAAGATAAAATTAATGAACAAGCAAGTCTCTATTCATAACTTTTTTCATGGAAGAAACTTTATGTTCATGAATACTAATACAAGATTATCATTCTATTTGAACTTTGTCTGGATGCTTCTAATTTTGTATAAATTAGTATTTTAGAACTTTCAATGCATTTCTTCTGACATTCCAAAATTCTCATGTTTAAGACATAAATATTTTAAAACAAGTTACAAGAAAGTCCAGAATTAACATCTGCATTCACAGAAACCATGAACAACTAGTGCTCCTTTGACAAATTGAATATTAAACAAGTAGGAATGAAATTATAGATGTTATTGTCACCTCTAATTTTATTTTTTTAGAAACAACAAAGCATCAACATCAGTTCTGCTAGCATCACGAAACAAAACATCATAATTTTACTGTTTCTCTAAAAATTCCTGTATCTCCAAACCAAAAATGGTTAAACTTAAGAAAGCTGCTTTCCAAAATAAATTAATAGATGATGACAAATTGCATTCCTAATATCAATAATAACCACTCGTACATCACCATCTAGGTCTAGGTGAAAGGACAGCTATTTTCTAAAGATAAACAAAAGTTTTTGTGGGGGTTTCAAAAACATCCTGATCTAAAATGTGAATAAAAAAATCCTCCAGGAAAAGTATTTGTACTTTCATGTTCACATTTACAAAATAAAATACAATATTTTTTCTGAACACAATAACATAGCAAACAACAAAGAAGTATGTATGTTTGGTTTCATTTATACCATTATAGTTTGCATTGGCCACCAACATTATCTCCAGGTACAAATACAATTATACAAAACGAAATTGTGCAACAATAAATATTCCCACACTCATACCCTTGGGTTTTAGGTAAATGCTTTTTGGGGATAAATATGATCACCTTGTAACTGAATGAATAGTTTCAGAACAAAATAATTGATGAATTGTATCTAAATTTTTAGGACCACAAAAGCAAAATAAACTTATTGTGTTTATTGCCACACGAAAAAAGGCATAGGTATCAAATGCCCCTACCCAAACAATTCTTTCTATTCTCTTTTGATTATACTACATGTAAAATATTTCAAAAGATACAGGCTTCTAAACAGGCCAGAATTTTCAGATGTGTTCAAATTATTAATGCTGAATCATATAACAGTTGGCACACATTGAAGCATCACATCCACTACAAAAAGTATGGACACGTTTAACCCTTTTACGGGCCACGTCCCGGCCAAAATGCAACGTCAGGCGCTCATAGCATAACTTGCAGTTACGTCGTGGAGAGGAGATGGAGTGCTTCATCAAGACATGATTTGAAGTAGCACAGCAAACTTGTTGGAGAGGTTGCTGCCCTTGCCAAGGAAGATGCTGGCATCCTGCAGGCACACCACCGTACCAAAGTTGGTTCTAGATGCGATTCTATTTCTTTAGGTACTTTTTCAGATTGAATTACATTTATTTGTATTACACTTTTTTAACATGTTCTCTCAAACTTCTGGACAGCAGTATTTACTTTTGGAAATACTATACCCCACCAAATTTCAAGAACAGAAAGGAAAGTGTATATGCCATCATCCAAATAAAATGTTCAGTACAATCACATACATTAAAATCAAGGTATTTCTAATTAAAGGGCAGTCCAAGGGCATCGGTGTTTCAATATATACTGTTACATCACTAAAAATTAGAGTTATTTACAATGAGCTTCTGTGAAAATAATTTTGCCTTGAAACTTCACCACCTTAAAAAAAAAATTAATCCTAGGTTGAATTTTAACCCAGTTGAGTTAGATCCTAAAGAAGGTTTTCTTGCTTTTATTGTAAATACTTAAACATTTTCTAGGGGACTATGTCCGTGAACATAGTAATTCAAAATTTTTGACACCTGTTTTTGAACTTAAGTGAACACGTGATGAGTGACAGTCTTCATCTACATGTAACAGTTAAATGATTTTTATCGTTAAAATTCTCCGACATTTTACAATTGTACCAGTAGGTTTCATAACAAGTTTCCACATTCATACATATGCTTTACACCAAATTCAATTTTAAGTTATTCCTAACACTTTCAATTTAAAATTCATTTCACAAATATGCAGACATTTAACACACAATACACACATTTCTAAGAACCTGGAGTTCAGACAACAGTACTAGCACTACACTACAGTAACTGAATGCCCAAATCATGTTTCATATTTTTCCAATGAAAAGCAAGAGGAATAAAAACATTCATGACAAGAGAACTGAATGCATTCATTAAAACCATTGCAATTATGATCAGGAAAATTACCAAATAGCATTATCTAAAGTTACTTTCTGTACCTGAGTATTATACCTGATTGCTTTCTTGTATCTAACAAATATGCTAATTTGATTAAATTTTGTAACAGAACACAGGATTAAAATATCCACTAACAATTTTCATGTTTTAAAACCAACTACTTGTTTAGTTTAATAGTTTCTAACATGAAAAAAAAAATCGTATATAGACTATATACAGCAAAATATCACTACTTTACACTAGGCCACCGAACAATTCTAACGTGATTTAAACATCAAAAGCAAAGTGTATTTAAGATCTTATACTTTCCAATGAAATGTAAACAAAAATTAGAAATGAAAGTTTTTAATTTAACCAGTTTTAAATTACCTCAACATCAATATTTTGCAATTTGAAATCTAACAAGAAATTACCAACATTATATTCATAAATGCAGATTTTGGGGGACCAAGATATTATAAAATCACAATAAATTAAGAATTCAGTACATTAAAACTTCATTTGTATCTGAAAAGTATGTTCACAGTTCACAATTCATTTTTGATACTTTCTTTCTAAATGCATTTTAATTTTACGAAATAATATTAATTATAATAAATTAAATAAATTGCTACGCATTAAGAATCCACAGAATTTTTTGCCTAAAGTATAACATTTTGCCTAAAGAAAATAATTGATTCCTAAAAACATCAGTCTCGTTCTACTTACAATTAAATTCAAAACTAGTAAATAATTATTTTTCCAAAAATGAATATTACTTTAGACTTCTTAATCTAGCAGTTTCACAGGCAATTAATTTTGGCATCTTTGTAAAGGTTTAATCTAGGAATTGATTGTTAGAAGAAGAGCACCCATCAGCAGTTGGCACGGTAATTTCTTTGGTGGACGCTGCAGCAGATCGAGAACCCGCAGTTCCACCGTGATACTGTGATTTGTGGCTCACAAGGCTGTTGCGAGATCGGTATGAGCGTCCACACACATCGCACTCGAAACTCTGCGGCACGTAGAAGTGAGTGTCTGCCATGTGGCGCTGGAGCGACCAGGCGCGCGTGAAGCTCTTGCGACACAGAGGGCAGTAGGGGTGTCCCACGCCAGCCCAGCCCCTTCCTAGCAGCTCTGCAACGAGACGAGCAAAGGAAGGGGCTCAGCATGGCAGGGAACAACACCCTACCCTTTACACTCCTCTCCCCTCTCTCAACAACAAAACGCTCATCTACACTGCATTTCCTACCATCTACAGCACCATAGTTGACAAACAGCACATAACATGAATTGTGCATAATTATTATTAACAAACATACCAAAGTATTTAAAATGCAAACATTTATTTCACAAGAGTTCCAGATAAAATTTATAAATTACAGAAGGTCGCTGCCCTGAAGAAATGTGTAATTTACAACAAATACATTTCTACATAAAATATGAGCATACATTAACCAGTTCAAATTCAATTTTCAATAAAAATAATTCATAAATTTCACCCATGTTCTCTATTAGATTTCAATTTAGGGTATTCAAAACGTATGTAGAGACCACAGAAGCAACACAATATTGAAGAAAATTAAGAAATACTGTTTAAATGAATGGATGAAATGAGGAAAAAGTACACACTAGGACAGACACACACACACACGTGCAGTCACATACACACATTCACAAGGATACTGTGCACACAATCTCAGTTCAGAACAGAAAATGATTAAACTTAATTTTTCAATAGAACTAATGCCTAACAACGAAACATAAAATAAATTACCACATTCCTTTAGATTATTTTATTAAGGGACATCAAATGAAGTGAATGAACCACTGATATAAAAAAAATTTAAGTGTGCCATTAGGGCATCAGTTATCTGCACAGGACACACAAGAGAGAACCCTCCCAAACAAGCTGCTTAAATAACTTTGAACATGCGTATCTAATTGAAAAAGACAGTTTCAAACAGAACAAAAAATTACCAGAATTCAAAGCAATTGCAAACTACAAAGGAAGTTCAGCACAGCCATATAAGTCTTTTTACATCATCCTTAAAAATTTATAATCCACAATATTCAATTATAAATGTAAATGTTTTTCTATATGGCTACTCTGAAGGAATGTACACACTTTAAAATGAATTTTTTCCTGAAATAGTAGGCCAATTGGCTGTAAAAAATATATAAAAAACTGCAATACATGTTAATAATGCCAAGCAATGACTTTCAGCCTCAATAACCTAATAACTTGCAGGAAAAAATCCTTGAAGGTGTCATTATGAAAACCTGGTTTCGATAAGTCTACAATTTCAAAATAAGAATTAATTGTCTAAAAACTCTTAGCTCTAGTGCATACGAGTATAAATAATTCCATTTCATTAATTGCCTTTTACCACATTACTAATACATAGCAATTATGAATTTTAAAATTTGGCAAAACGTGCAATACAATAGTTTCAAAGTTTTCTACAAAATAAGAGAAGTCAAGAAGAATATTCCAAACTGAACTTACCCTACAAGTCAATGTTATCATGATTTTCAGGAATATATAATTTTTCTAACTGCTTTTCTTGTTTATTTAAAAAAATTTTGTAAATTCTACCTTTATCTACCTAACCTTTTTAATTGGCTATCTGATATAAGAATTCAAATTGTCACCCTTTTCTTAACTAAATACACCAAACAACTACTTTCCATATTTTTGATTTTAGAAACCAGATTTTCCACAATTGACAAACACATATAATGCACCAAAATCATTCTTACCTGGTGATGATGTTCCAGCTGTTCCATCTGCACCCTGTAGCGACTGGTTTGCCAGACCTAACAAAAGAATTTTCATATCATTAAAACCTCTGTAATTACTTGAACTGAATAATAGTTATCAGAAACGTTCTATAACAGCAAGATCATAAGAGAAATTATCCATTAGTTTGTACTAACCTGCCAGACCAGAAGGATCAGCAGAGAGAGCAGCCATACTAAAGTTAAAAGATCCTCCTGATGTAACAGATCCGAAGAGTTTACTTTCCGGAGTCGCAGAACCAAATAACTTGCAGTCAGGAGTCGAAGAACCAAATAATTTACTTTCATGGGGTTGGAGGTAGGAGGTCGCAAGATGTCCTTGGATGCTGTCATGGTCTTGTTGCTCTTCTGAGGCTTGAGGTGTCTGATGCTGTCCAGTTCCGAGATCAGGTGCTGCTTCAATAGAGTCACTGCTATTTTCGACATCAGCATTTGCACAAAGCATTTCCACAGGTTCAGATTTGACTCCATCTAACAGCCCACTAGTTGGGGAAGGTGAAGATTCTTGTTCCATATTATTTCCTTCTTGTTCTTTTCTGCTCGAACTGGACGATGAACTTTGTTGAGAGGTTTTAGGCAAGGAAGATGTTGAGAAGTCTGTAGGGGTAACCTGATTATTAGAAGCTGAGGTAGTTTCGCTGTTATGATTGTTACTCTCAAGTCCCTGAGCAGCTGCAGCGGCGGTTGCCGCCGCTGCAGCTACGGCCGCCGCAGATGTACGCGCACGCTTGCTAGGTTGGACTGGGTGATGAGATTGGTCAGCATCTCGATGGTCTGCAGAGGAGTTATGGCGCTCCCTACGATTGGAAGATGCAAGAGCAGCAGCTGCAGCTCGCCTTAGCAGTTGGTTGACAGTAGCACCGCCTGAGGTAGTAGGAGAAGGAGATGGAGGCGATGCAAACAATGCATCCTCTCCAACTTTATCTGAGAACCCATGCTGCATGTAACCACGCAACATATTTGGCATATTATTGTGGAACTGAAACACAATAGGAAAAAGTCAAAAATAACACTAAGAATTTAAACTCACAGAGCTATCATCTTGCTCAAAACTATACCTCATCTCGATCGTCAGCTTGCTGAGTTAGACCACTGACCCTCAGGACTTCAGCTGTTTTGAGAAAAGATGTAAGGTTGCGCTGGTGCACATTCACTTCACCATGGTAAATGAATTCTACCAAAGCATGTAGATCAGCAAACGCCACATCTTGCAGAACAATGACAGGATGTTTGCAAGGAGTACTCTGCAGAAAGAGAAATTAATAGTCAAGGTTCAGATCACAAATTATAGTATAATTTCTGTAACTTAATAGTCCCATGTAAGTTTGTCTCTTCATGACATTCCTCTAAAATTTATTTTCTGTCACAGTTGAAAATCTCAAAAGATTTTCATAAATATGATATAGAAATCAATAGTATATTAAAAAACACGAACACACAGCATACCAAGTTTGTGACACTTCATTTTACAATTACATAAGAAAATCTGCTGATTTAAAAAAGGATTAATAGAGGATGTTTGGAGAAAAAACTTTATGAAGATTTTAAATAACGCACTATAAAAAATAAACACATGCAAAATTCTTTTTCAATTCACAAAACGTGACACTAATAGATACTTCTGGTAAGTCAACAGTCAAATTTTAACTGATAAACATAAAAGAGCTCTATAATCAATCTCAAAACTTGTGGTTATCATATTAAACAAAATTAACATATGTACTTCACTACTGAAAGCTACCAAACTTAAAAAATATATTCTTACCTTTAAAAGTTCACGAAAATATGGACTGCATGCTGATAGAACTACTCTGTGAGCTTTCAAGCTTCTTCCTTCACAAGCAAGTGTAACATCAACAAAATCTTCATCATCCCGCAAATTTTCAAAGGCAGATGTAATACTACTTTGGTAATTATTCCAACGGAGACAAAAATGCTGTGTGTCTGCCATCATTACCAGTTACCTAGGGATGAAATTGGAATGAATAAATAAAACAAGAATTGATAAAATAAATTAAAATGTAGAAAAAACAAAACTACTAAAATATAAATATAAAAAACTGCCAGTTTAGTATATTTAAATTCTTCAGCACATTTTTTCATATACTACATGTAACAAACACATATTGATTTATGTTTAAAAAGTCCATAAACAATTACCGGATGTTCTACAATGAAATGTAATAATTCCCTATCACCATGAATAAAGTCACAACACCAATGTCAGGTTATGTATTTTGTAACATGATTGATGAACAAAACGAATATCCAAAAATATCACAGATAAAAATTACAAAATTTTATTTTAAGAAATTACGTACAAAGCGATTTAATAATTACCCTCCCTCCCATGTCCAATGAATAAAAATAATTTCACCGAAAATTATATAATTTATCAGCACACATGAAGAGTTACCTCCTAACAACTGTCACACGACACAATTCTCGATTAAGTCATGTATCTTCACACCGTGCACCACAGGAATAAAAATGGTGGAAAATGGCGTCTTCAAAAAATAATGCAATGGATTCATCATCTCATTGCCCCAACTTCCACAATTGAACACCCAGCACCCACGACAACACGTCCACCCGTGGAAACGCCGCACTACCGAATGACTAAATGCTCCCCGCGAGCCACGCCGAGCATACAGCGTAATAAACAGAAACAAACACTCGTAGCGCTCACCAATTTTTCTAGTAATTGACATTGACATTGTTTAATGTCACACACCATACGCATACGTAAAAAACTATATTAAACACACATGCGCAATGAATATTTATGCTTATTATGATTACTTTACCTTAAACTATGTTTTGTGCACTTGCTTTGGACGCAATCTTCTCCCGTAGACTCTCATTACATCTTTCCTCACCAGCCTCAACCTCCAAGCGTAAACGCGTACACAGCGGCGTCCCAAAAATTGGGATTGCGGGTGGCTCTACGACTAGCGCGAAATACGAAAAGCTTCCGCGGACGTTTTACCTCTTTCTCCAACTAAATCTCATATTTTAACTTAACTTAACACTTAATCTTTACAAAATGAACACTACACTTAATAAAAAATTAAGTTTCAGTGAATTTTTCGTCAAAAAACTGTCCGTAAAAACGTTCGCCTCATAATTCTTTATCAGCACGTGAGACATCTGTCGCAATAACTCGGTACTAAAAATAGTGCGTATCCAGCAAGGCGCAAATGAAAATGCGGAAGGATACGAAACTACACAATAATTTCAATAAAAACTAAAACCCAAAAAAATATGAATTTTTCTGTTCAGGATGATATGAACACATTTTTAAAAAGTTACATATTGATTTTCAGTGAAAAGTCAAGTTGCACATAGCTCTCCAAGACGAAAACAGATATAATAATAATATGAAAATTGTATATTCATGCGCTAATGAGCTATCCACCCCCACCCTACTTAATCCATCCCCAAAAAATCATTACGTTCATCCGCGGCCACAAAACTGCGCATGAACAGAATTAATTCGTTTCACTTGCCGAAGAAAAATACATTTATATAAATCATATAGTCTTATGCAGCACAGCTCCAGTAATAAATCAATACAACAATGCATTGCAACCTAACACTCGCTTTTTTAGCATTATCTTAAAGGAGCATCAACTTAAACATAACCTTAACTCTCTTACAATAATGTACCAATTGTTGCTACGAATACAAACGTTGCGCTCAATAATAGTTCATATTTATTAGTTTAAAATATTGTTTTCACTTCAAATTGCATAATGTTTGAAAACATTTAGTACAATACTTTGTAACGTTTACTTTACATTTCTTGCATTAATTACAAACACACTTAATTTTCAAGCCACGACAGTCATATATTTTCGAGCTGAGATAAAAGCTTATTACAAGTTCATACCTCATTAAATGACAACCAACAATATTTTGCGACTTCCATTGTTGATTCTAATAATCATATTGTTACACACACGACGCCATCTTTTCCGTATAAAGAAACAATACCTACCTTAATTTCAACAATGGTGGGCTGTAACGATTCAACTGTTCCTTCAAGGTTTCCTTCGAATACGCTCTGCTAGTTAAATGGCCAATTCACCAATTGCGATCACTTCTTTAAACGAGGGAAAATCTTGAGATGTTGGAGCAGCTAGGAGTGCTAACGAAATGAACAACTTTTGCGAAAGACCCAAGGTGCACAAATGTTGTCTTCATTCGATATTTTTAAGGCAAGTTGGTGCTCTTTTGTTTGAAGGCAGAAGCAAAAGTTGAATCGGTTTTAAAACTTGTGGAACAACTTTTTATTGAGTGTCGCAAATTCAGAGGAACCTTAACCAAGCCTAGGTCTATTGCACTACCCCCACCCTTTCTCTCTTGCACCGTCCGTAAAACTGGATGTACAGGCATGAGGAAAATAATTTGGCACCCTTTCTTTTCATACTACTACTTCTCATTTCGTGCAGACAAAGAAAGTACTCCTGCAAAGAAGGACAAAGCGTATCACGTAATTAACTGACACCCGGGTAAAACTTCACATCAAGAAATAATTCCTTCGCAAAATATTTATGATGAAACAATATAGTAAGAAGAAATAGGCAATTTCGCCATCATTAACAATATCTCTGATGAATGATTTTCCGTCGTTTTTTGGCTTTTTAGGCCCTTTAGATGGTTAGTTTTGATTGCAGCATTCTCGCTTGCTAGCACAACATTGCATCGCACAACAGTGTATAATTAACATTGCATATTGAACCGTTTTTAAGATATCTTCGTTGACTCTATAGCCTGCTTCACCTTGGACAATATGTTATGCCTGACAATGCTTTAATCTGAATTGATTTTGGAAACATATGATCAAATAATGTATTATTTAGTAACAATGTTAACTTATTTTGCCTTCTGCCAGGTGAATTATCTCAAATGATTAACAAACACATTCAGATCATTGGTAAAAATCAATGACATTTGTGAAAAAATTATTAATTACTCACTTTTAAAGACGTCCCTGTTCAGCCATCGAAAACCTGTGCGCCGAATCTTCCTGGCTATGAAGATACCATTGTTACATTCTTCAGCTCTGTAGAAAGCAGCTCTTTGTCACAACGAAACTAGATTATTACTATGGTCAATTCTCATTTCGTATAGTCACTTCAGTTGTTTATTTTAAAAAAATACACTATTTTTTGCCGTATTTTGAGAGGGCAAGTCTTGTAATGATGACAAGAAATGGCATAGTTACTAGGATTGTCCGTTCTGCGCTTCCAGCTGATTGCCTTTCGTTGAAAGAATAAATGAAACATAAATAATTATGGCGATAATTAACTGGCTTGTTTCCTGATTGCGTTTATTTATAATCTTTAGAATGCCACTGCAGCTAAGATAGCTGAACAATAGGAAATTTCATTCAAATTTTAACTGCTCTGTATTGTTATGGTCTTTGTGACAACAGGCATAATTTCTTATTATTCGTGCTTTCGAGAAAGACGTATAGACGTCGAGCGGTGTTATCAATGCCCCTTGTTTTACAGCCGATTGTCAATAGAACTACCACAACGCTATATTTTTCGGTCCTGCACAACTACAAAGAAGCAGTTTTTAGGGGGTTATCTCCTTGGAAACTATTGTGCGATGGTTGTATTAAGGGGGAAAACTTTACATCGACATCTGAGGGAGTACTCTGTCCTGAGCGACGAAAAAATCGATTGGGATTCTTCTTCTCGCAACTGAACGTCAAACAATCAGCAACCGAACGCGCATCGTGAAGTCGAAAACAGCGGCTTGACGGCCGAAGGCGCGACAGCGACAGGGTCGAAACCGCCCCAGCGGGGGCGGGGCAGGG